CTTGTTCCCGCCCGCGGCGGGGGCTGTCCGGGAGAGCCGCGGCCCTTCTCAAGCCAGGCTGGCCAGGCCGGGGACACGCGCAGCGGAGGCTTCACCCCGCAGCAGGCAGCACAGGCCTTGGGTGACGCTTGTGCCCGCTCAGCACGTCGCAAAACCGCGGGGGAAGCTGCCAGGAGTGATCCCGGTTTGTTTTGTGTCCCCTGCGATCAGCACGGAGGGGTTTTAGCACACGGTGGGAGCAGGGGCGCGGTGTTGTACCGGCACTTTGCAGCACAGATGAGAACTCGGTATGAAACGTGGTTCTCCAGCGTGTGCAAAATACAGACGTAGTGGCTTTGAGCTGGGGTTTTCCTTATCACAACTGCATTTTTCACGGGATTGTTTCGCAGCCTTCTCCTTGCAAAGCAGTCGAGGTAAAATCTCAGCTCCTTCAGCTTCGGTCCATGAATTCCCAGGATGATTTCACCGGCCTAGGGACAATCCTTCTCTATGAGCTGCACTGCTCACGGAGCGGCACCCCTGGTGCCCAGCCCTGCTCCCGGCCTCTCTGCCACCTTCCGTGTGCCTGCCGCGTCCCTTCGCTGTCCCAACCGCTCCCACGCCGGGTGCAGCTGGTCCAGCAGCCACCAGACGATGGGCGACGGATTGCAACGAGGAGATTGCAGGGGCTTTACCTTGAGCGATCCTGCCACGAAGTCAATCCTGTGTTTGAAATAAAAAGTGTATATTTACCTTCTTCTTTTGAGACACTGCTGAAACATCTCATCCTCAACCGCCATGTCGGGAGCGCGATCGCTCACGAAGTGTCCGAAAGTGCGCTTCTGACCTTCCTCCACTCGAAGGGAAACCCCTCAGACCTTGAGCTTTGCTCCGTCTCTTGGGATGGTCCTGCCTCCCTCTAGCCAGGGCTTTCCACGGCGCTTGAAGATAAATCTAGCCGTAAAGATCCTGCTCATCTGCTTCAAAATGAAGGTCAAAACCTGATCTCAGCCGCGCCGGGTACATTTTGCACCAGCTCGAAAGGGAGCTGATGTGGCCCGCGCTGGAGCCATGCGTCCGATGCCTGAATCAAAGGGCTGCCCCCACAGAGCCTCCCGCTGCGAAGGGATGGCGTAAAACAGCTTTCCAGGATCTGGGTGCAAAAACCAATACCTGCAAATGACAAAATCCACAAAGAATTTACCAGAAACCCCTTTGTACAGGTTGGTGTCGTCTGCCAGGTGGGGCATTCGCTAAAGGGGGAATTCAGCATTGCTAAATCCCACC